CCACTATATGAAAATTTTGAAACAAACAGACTGCATTTATCACAGCCAGGAGTAACCCAGAGTATTTTCAGAAAAAGCAATTTGATGATTTACCTTTTATATGTATTTTCAAAACGCTAAAGTCACAAAGACCTAGTGTATAGGGCATCAAGATGAATAAGCAAAGACACACAAGAATATTCATCACAAAAGACATTAATGGCAAGAAGGCAATCTTTAAATGTACAATTATTTAAAAAGAAGAGGAAAGGTCAACAGTGATGGCTTTAAAAGTGCCAAAGAGCAAAGCCATTTGCCAAGCAAAGCAGAAAGCCCCAGACTACCTTCATCAGTTTGCTGCAGGCAGACCAGGTCGTTCTGGACTCCTTTGCCCACACAGACAAAATATTATAATTTCCAGTTCTTTAAAGCTAGCACCCTGCTTCACTTACTCTGACATTCAACATATCATAGTATTTTTAACTACCAGGTCCACTTTTTAAAAAGCGCCTTTTGAAAATTCTTTTCTGAGACAGCAATATTTCAAATCTTCATCTCTTGGGTTTGCTTTTTCATCTCCTGCCTGTTACTGAGATTGTATTTAATCATATTTTATGTGATTTCTGTGTCAGGCTAGTATCCAGGTATGGGAATGTGCTTTTGGACAGTACCATAAAATCAGACATCAAATTATCAAGTACACAAAGATGCTAAGTTTAGAGGGCAAAGATTATGTAAATAAACCAGTAGGAGGTGCCCCCACGTTTTAAAAAAGATCTAATTGTGGGTAACAAAAATCAGAATGGACACATGAATACTCTATTTTTCCATTCCATAATTAGTTGTATTGGGGCTCTCAGATGCTTGGCAGCAAGCATAGAGGGTAATTACAGTTATGGGAAAATTGGGGCCAGTGCTGGGATGAGAAATTTAGACATTAATTGTACTTAGAGACCACTAGGGGGTTATTGAAGGACTTCATTTCCTTTGTTGTGTGCTTGCTTGAAGAAGGCAATAACTTGATCAGAACAGTCCTATAAGAAGCTCATCTATCAGTCCAAAAACATCAGTGCAGAAAGAGACCTAAAGTAGGAAGGTGAGTTGGGAATCTAACAGAAGCCCAGAGATGGAGCAGAGTAGAGGCAGAGATGCCATTTGAGATTTGAACACCTGCTGACCTACAGCCTTCAGTTTCAGTCCCACTTTCAGTTTCAGTGCACTGTGTTCTCTGTACCAGCCCTGCAAGGTAGCCAGGCCAGAATCACTTGTTCAGCTGGTGGCAAGTGAAAATAGAACGTGTGAACAGAACGTACTGCAGCTGAAAAAACAGAGTTGTACCAGGGCCTGTTTTCCTGAATGTGGTGCTTCCCAAGGGGCTGGTTTCTCTTTCCTTCCTGCAGGGGCAGGAAGCTTGTCTTGTTCTGCCGGTGGTATTTTCTGCTCTGTTCTGCTCCCTCTGCTATGGGTGTATTGGGCTCAGATAGAATGAGGTGAGCACTGGACAAGGAGGCTGGCGACAGGAAGGGAACCATGTCTGTTCTCTCCCCCGCCCCCTGGTGCTGCCTCTGGAGAAGGTCGGGGAAGCTCCCACCCAGCAGGTGGCAGCTCCCCTGGGGCCAGAGCTTTCTCTGTTTCTGGACATCAGTTGGATTCAGAATGACTGATGTGAAACGTGTTTCCTGAGCAGGCGCCTTTCTGCCGTCTCGTGTAGTCTCACTGCTCTGTGGAGAAAATAAGTGTAGAGGCACTGAAGCAAGGAATTTGCGGTAAAAGAGAAAAATGAAAAATGGAAGTCATAAGAGAAACGAGAATTACTGGATCAAGTATGAAGAATGGTAAATGTCATGGCGCTTGGTAATTGTTCTGCTAACAGACATTGTGAAGATAGAAGTTTCCGTGATTTTTTTTTCCTTTTTTTCCTCTTGCTATTGTCACAAGATCTAAAAGCATGAGGGATTTGTCATTTGGATATTGCATTGCAACAAAAAACAGAAGGACAGAATCCCCTTCAATGAGAGTATGAACACAATAGCAGGTTTGCTACCGGGAACAAGATATTGAATTGCCCCTCTTTAAGCTTTTTTATTTTTGATATGAAAAGCTTTAAATGCAACCATTTAATCACTGAAAGCTTATATTCACAACAACTAATGTGCACCTGCTATTTATAAAGTATTCCCCTAGGTACTATTTATAAAATTAAACTCAGCTATTGAGTTACGAAAATAAACCATGCCCACATGCCCTGCGAAGGCCTGTTAAAAGCAGGCAACATGCCCAAGAAAATATATTTACTTTGGATTTCACAGAAATCTTAGTTTGGGGAGGAAAATCAAGAGTATTTGTTTTAAGCCACTATGTGTGTCCTCTTAAACAGTTAATGTGGGGAACAGAGGTAGTGGCTGTAATTAAAACAAGGAGATATTGAGTAAATGTGTATATGACCTAATTCAAGTTTGGTGGCAGAAGAGGTATTTTTACTGGACTGTATTTGCAAAACTGTTCTAAATAGTAAAGTAATAGAAGTTTTAAAAAAATTGAGTTAGCGTATATGTTTGTGCTCAGTTTCTCCTCTTTTGATGGTTGTATATATGCCTCCAATTTCCATTCATGCAATTACTATTGTAAGCTCTCAACGATTCATATTAAATAAAGGGGTAAAAATTCTGTTGTATCCCAGAAATATCTCAAGAATTTCTATTTGTGTTTATTTTCCTTCATCTCATTATTTTCTTTCTCTTTATACCACATTTATTTGAGTCTTACCAATACTTTACTTCAGGAGACTTAGTATTGTACTATCATCATAGAAAGTCCTTCTAGCTAGTCTGCCTTGCCAGGTCTCACCAACTCTTTTGACAAGACTTGCCAAATATTATTTCTGAAATTAACGTTCTTATCCTTCCTCCTGCCATCTCTGTCTATCACAGAACCTGATGCCAACCGGCTCTCTCCAGACCATGGTCAAATAAGCAAATCTACTCAAAGTCCAGAAGGGGTGGGAAAATGAACGTAGAAAGTCTCACGTGGAGAAAGCCTTACAATATATCCTTAAAGTTTCACAACAGTGATTTTTTTCTTTGCTGATACTGCAACATAAACGGGTATTCTTGGCTGGCAAGTCGATTGGGCAGCACTAAGCTGTCCTTTACACTCTGCGTAAAAGGTACCTGAGGAAAGATGGCCCAAGTTACTTGCCACAAATCATACACGTTGACAGCACAGTCTAGGTTTATGAGTGTAATACATTTCTTTTCTACTTTTTCGTATATACGTAATGTGTATTTCTTGTAGAAAAGTTAGACAATGAAGATGAGCAAGAAGAAAAATACACACCATCCAAATACCCAGCAAATGACCATATTAATGTTGACATATTTTCTTCTAATTTTCTGTATTTGTATGTATACATGTATATACACACACACTTTTTTTTCTGAATGAAACTATACTGACTTATAGAACCTTTCTTTTTTTACCTAAAATACTGATTTCTTTACCTAAAATATCTTTTGTATTTTTAATATTCAACTATTGCATAATATTCCATTTTATGATTATACCATAATTTAAGTTTCCAGCCCTCTCTGTTAGACATATATGTTGTGCCAAATGTTTATTATAATAAATATTTCTGAAGTGAATATTCTTATCCATACATCTTGGTGCTTCTTCTTTTTTTTTTTTTTAATTTCCTTATTGTCAGTACCTGCAAGTGGCATTGCTGGGCCATAGGATCTATACGTGTTTGAGGTTCTGGTACACATCATGAAATTGCCCTCCAGAAAAGTTCTACCAATTTCAAGCTTCCTCGCCCTGGGGCATCAAAGACTTTGACTTGGAGCTTTGCAGCTGCAGTGTTATGTTCACCACCTCAGTCACCCAGCAGCATTTGCAATCAACCTCCAACCTTGTTCCTGGGATGGTTTCTGGTGATGAATTTGGGTTTAGAAGTGGTACTGGTGGATAGACCTGGAAGGATTTTTGGTAGACTCACTAAGGCTTTGGAAGCAAATTACTTTGGTCTTTCTAGCAAACTTTAGCCAATGGGCTCCACTCATGGAGAGTCAGCTTCCAGGAACAGATCGTAGCTCAGGGCCCATCATATTCAGGACAATAGTGGAGTAAGAAGCAAGGCTGAAAACCAGAGTGAATTTTCATTTAGTGAGCTTGAGAAGATATGTGAATAGATAGCTACCTGCATAGAAAAAAAGACAAACCAAAAATAAGCTAGTGGATCTCCCTCTTTTGTAGCTATAGATCCCTTTTCTTTTCTAACTGAGCATTGGTATGTGTGGGGATGGGTTGCTGAGGGACAATATGCCAGAATACACTGGTTTTGATATATGCTTACAAAGGCCTGTCCATGCAGAGCATTCCTTTAGTTGTGGAATAAACCACACTCAGTTTCAAATTCTAGTCCTGCCACTTCCTATGTACTTGAGCAAGTTCTGAGCTTCACTTTCCTCATATGTAGTTATTCCAATTTCAGAGGCTTGCAATAAGTCGAAATTTAGGATTTAAAGCAACCAAGGACAGCACGCAGCCCCATGGTAATACTAAGTAAACTTTTAGAATCCAGGCTTACTTAGAAGCTTACTCGGGTTTTAGTTTTCTGTCTTATAGGGTTCTGCTTGCTCATTGCACTTATCACTACCTGAAATTGTATCATTTATTTTTAATTTGCTACTTATAGTCTGTCTGTCCATCATCACCCATCCATTCAGGGGGAGGGTGGGTTCCCAGTGCCTAGTGCCTGCCCTGCCTAGAACGGTGCCTGGCACACAGAAGATGGTGGAGCAATATCTGTGGTTGCGAAGTGCTCACGTTCTTTCTAATGAGCAGGAAGCTGCTCAGCACAGACCCACCCCCCGCCCCCTCACGCCATTCATTGATCTGTGCTTGGTTCCAGCCATCCTCCGTTACCTGAAGAATGGTTCTTTCTAATGAGCAGGAAGCTGCTCAGCACAGACCCACCCCCCTCCCCCTCACGCCATTCATTGATCTGTGCTTGGTTCCAGCCATCCTCCGTTACCTGAAGAATGATGGGAAGATCCATTTGGTGGTTTTCAACAACCTGCAGCTGGCTGATGGGCGGCGGCACAGTATCCTCCTGAGACTAACCAATTTGCACCGAGGGTCTGGCTCCATAGAGCTCTACCTGGACTGTATCCAAGTGGACTCCATTCACCATCTCCCCAGAGCCTTTTCTGGCCTCTCCCAGAGTCCTGAGTCCATTGAATTGAGGACTTTCCAGAGGAGGGCACAGGTAGGAACCCCTGAAACATTCTCTGAAGTGGAAAGATGGGCAGCCAAGGCCTGGGGAGTGCAAAGGAGTGTGCTGAGCAAAATGTGTCAGCTTGTCCCTGTGAAGGGGCAGTGGGTCCAACCCTGGCTGCATGTTAGAACCCCCTGGGGAACTTGGAAAGTGACTGCTAGAGGGCCACCCTCAAGTCAAATTGAGTCAGAATCTGTGGGGGTGGTGCCTAGGCATCAGCATTTTTAAAAATACTGATTCTAATGTAAAGCCAAAATTGAGAGCTTCTGTTTTCAATGATAAGTACACATTTTTTGGATACAATTGTAAAGTTGGAAAGAAATAGCTAAAATAAAAATAACGCTCTTAGGGTAATATGATTATCTATTTTCAATCTTTCTGTAATGTTACTAATTATCCTTTCTAATGAAAATAAAAAAGAATGATTAGAAACTGCCAAGCACTAGGAGCAACATTTTTTACAAATCTTGTCAGAACATCCACTAACAAAAAGTTCCATGCATAGTTCCACAGGTCTTAAAAAACCCCATCACCTCTGTCTTCTATTTTATGCCATGTTAATGGTTATTTTTTTATTATATCACTGCATCTACTGTAGAAACTGCCACATACATTTCTTTTAGAATTCTGTGCTAGGAAATGCTTTGTTTCCTATAAAGAACTAGTATTCTTTGTCCTTCCCAATAATGTATAGCTGGTCGTAGTGCCTGAATTTTATCTGATATAGAAGTCAATGCCAAAATCAGATAACTGATTCATCTGTTATGGCCCACAATATTGTTTTCTATCTCTCAGTCCTTGTTTTCCATTTCTATTTTACTGTTTCATTATATGTGCTTTAGTTACAAGCTGCTCTGAGCCCTTTGTACAAAGAGGCAACGTGTAAACAATAATTTCCATGACAAGTAGGAATGCTGTGAAGTTTCAGACAGTAATATAAAAACTATGAATCTGATCCTAGAATTGTGTGTTTGAACAACAGGAAGCATTATTAAGAAGAATTTCCAAGAAAACTAAAATCCATGATTTTTTTGTTTGTTGGTTTTGTTTTGTTTTTGCAGTCATGTGTGTGTGTATATATATATATATTATATGTATATATAAAAATACATGTTTATATAGAGAAAAAATCAATGAATAGAAAGATATGCTAATCTTTATTTCTGAATTCCCGAAGCAACCCAAGTAATCAGAATGACAGTCAGAAATTGTGTCACTGGCCAATATAGAAATTAGTGTCTGCCACCAAATAATTCAGTTTCTAGAAGTCAGGACTCAACCATGACAAGGTCATCAGAAACTATACTAGTTGATGGGGCCGGCCCGTGGCTCACTCGCAAGAGTGTGGTGCTGATAACACTAAGGCCACAGGCTTGGATCCCATATAGGGATGGCCGGTTAGCTCACTGGGTGACCGTGGTGCTGACAACACCAAGTCAAGGGTTAAGATCCCCTTACCGGTCATCTTTAAAAAACAAACAAACAAGCAAAAAAAAAAACTATACTAGTTGGAGTTTTCTCAAAAGCTCTCCTTCCTTGGGCTATCAGCAGAAGCAAAAAAAAAACTATACTAGTTGGAGTTTTCTCAAAAGCTCTCCTTCCTTGGGCTATCAGCAGGGACACAGAAGCTTGGTCTCATAGTCACCTACTCATTCATTCAATCAGTCAATTAGTCAACAGTCAGGCACATTCTAGGCATTAGGTATACTGTGGTCGGCAGAACCATTTGAGGTCCTGCCTCCATGGAGCTTATAGTCTGATGTTCAACACAATATCTGTTACATAGCATGTTTTGCATAAATCTGAGCTAGATTAAAAAGTAGAATTTCTCTGAAAATCCTTAACATGCTCATTTCTAAAATAAGGATAATAACTTTACATTGGCGGTTAACATAAACTTTTTCTGTCATATATAGATAAAATAAAAGTGAGTACAAGTAAAAGTTATAAGATAAAGGGTTGAGGTGTTATAACACCAAGTTCAAAGGTATGGATCCCTATACCAACCAGTTGCAAAAAAAAGAGGGGGGGTTGGTGAGGAAATTGCCTTTATGACTAACAATGAATGATTGATATCAACCAATAATGTAAAAATATGGTGCTAACTGCCTAATGATCATAGAAGATACTGTTTATTTGTTCACATAACCCAAGGAAATCAGAGGCTTTGCTAAACATCCTAAAAGTGATATTGTTTAAAATTGGGATCGATACCTTATTATTACAGTCTAAACTCCATAAGCAAATTCCAGACAATTCTTAAGGGTCTCCTGCCACAAAATAACTCATTTACCATGAAGGAAAACTGTCTTTCCCTTCTCAGCTGCCTTGATGAACTCTAGGCTACTGGCTGCTTCCATATTTGCTTCAGTCAAAAAGATAGGGCTGGCAGGCTTTAGGAAAAATATGAACCTACAAAATTATGTAGGATGTCAGAGTCCAAGTATACAGTGACAAGTATACTATTATGACAAGTGCATGAGTATGCAAGTACATTGGCTTCTGAACGCCGTCAGCAATCTGTGATCTGAATGTGATTTCTTCCAGGATTTCTTGGAAGAGCTGAAGCTGGTGGTGCACGGCTCGCTGTTCCAGGTGGCCAACCTGCAAGACTGCTTCCTGCAGCAGAGTGAGCCTCTGGCCACCACAAGCACAGGTGTGGTCACTTGTGCAGTTTGTACACCTTCAACACAGACAGACTCCAAGGCCTTCCAGTGGGCTGGGTCCCATCACTGAAAGGTGGGCTGTCAACAGGGCAGCCCAACAGAACATATCTGCAGAAATCAGGCTTTTGTGCAAAGTCCAGGGCAAGCAATGTTTTCATTGCACTTGCATTTTTATAAGTCACATGAATTTGCACTGACTAGCCAGTGGCATCACTATCATTGTTGTTCTAGGTGAATTAGAAAAATTGCCCCAAATGAAATTCAGATACCCTAGGTTTTTGAATCATCTTGTCATGATGGTCCTCTGGAAAATCATTTGGTTTTGAGTCACTTAGAAATGACTGTCACTGGCTGAATGCTTCTTACTATTAATACTCCTTACTTTTACTATTCCTGCAGGGGGCTTTAATCAGCAGTTCATGGATCAAATGACACAACTAAACCAGCTACTGGGAGAGGTGAAGGATCTTCTGAGACAGCAGGTAACAAACCAGATATATCATCAGAAAAGCTCAAGCCTCATCAGAGCGCTCTCTGTAGGAGCTGGTGGAGCAGAGAGGGATCCCAGCGCAGCCTGCCACCCCAGGGCTCTGCTAGAAGAGCTCTGGAAATGGGGATAAAGATACCAGGGCTCCAGGCAGAGCGGGAGCCTTCACGGGCTGCTTTAGCACTACTGTGAGAAGTGTTTCATAGCTGGCTACACATGGCTGCTTTTATTTTTGGAGTATATCAAGTATTACTTTTCAATCTTTTCCCCCCTTCCTATTTCTAAAGGTCAAGGAAACAACATTTTTGCGAAACACCATAGCTGAATGCCAGGCTTGTGGTAAGTTCTTTTCTAGTAATTGGCTCATTCTGAGTTGGACGATGCAGACCGAAGGAAGGGCCTGAGGTGAGGCTACGTGGACTGTGGTTTCTGGAGGTTGACCACAGAGTTGGAAGGAAGGGAAGAACTAACTTGGGAAACCACATTTCACTTTGTATCTTATATGTTTTTCTGGTTGTGAATAAGCCTATGGATTATTGTTTTCCTCAGGTCCTTCCGGATTACAGAATCCAACACCAAACACACTGGTGCCTCCAGCACCCCAAGCACCCCCAACACGCCCAACACGCCCAAGACGCCAGTGTGACTCCAACCCATGTTTCCGAGGCGTCCAATGTACTGACACCAGAGATGGCTTTCAGTGTGGGCCCTGTCCTGAGGGCCACACAGGAAACGGGATCACCTGCTCTGACATCGATGAGGTAAAAGTTCAGTTAGACAGGGCAGGGGCTCCCTAAGCATGCTCCATACCCTACAGCTCATAGAAAAAGAAGTCAAGCTGACCGCGAAGTGATGACTTGGGTTGTCCTCCAGGCTCCATAAAAGCTGCTTCCTTATAAAACCTTGGAGACCCTGAGCTGCAGTGAGCCGGGGAAGGAGCTTGACACAGAGTTGTGGCTGTTTGTCATTTCTCTTCTCCGTGTTTCCGACTCTTGTAACAGTCCATGTTGCTACAGTGCTTGGATTTCTGCTTTACACTCAACATTTGTATTGATTGTTTCTCTCAAGCAGTTTGTGTTACAATTTTGCTTTTTTCACACTTTTGCAAATGTGGGAGGGGAGGATTTGTGTAAGGGTATGTTTCAGGAGTTATAACAGATTTCTTCAGACTTTCTAAAATAGAAGAGCAGAGAAGAATCTCACACCAACAAGACCTGTTGGGGAGGCCCGTAACCTGTGAGCAACCGAAAGTGCCCAGGGATGGAGCCAGAGAGTGCACATCCAGAAAATACGGGCGGTTTGACAGGCTGGCAGAGCACCAGAAGAGACTGTTTGAAGACCATGGTTAGCCAGCCAATAGTTCAGTATCAAAGTGTGTCCATAGTAGGTAGCAAGGCTGCCACCAAAATGCACCTTTCCCCTTCCACCCAGCCAGAGGAAGGCTGAAAGAAGTGGGGGACTTGAGGGGGCGCATGCAGGGAACTGAGTCACACACTGACACCCACGGGACTCCTGTGGGCTCATGGTGGCACTCAGTTGATTACCTCTCCCTGGTAGTATGCAGTTAAGATGGTGTAGTAATCCCTCAATTGCAGAAACATGTGCACACGTTTCACAGAACTACATCTGGTTTTTATCTGTGAACTGGAATTTTCCTCCTTTTGAAAAGGCAGGAAGTGATCATGTTTTTTACATTAGTTGAAGTGGTTTTAAAAAAGGATCGGAACCAATTTCCTAGACTCCAGGAGCCTTGAAATAGACACGAACTTGATAAGGCATGAAGGCAGGCACAGACCTTGGTGGATTACATCCTAATGAAGAAGCCCCTGCCCTGGCTTTGTCTTTTCAAGGTCTTTCTAGGAACCAATTTCCTAGACTCCAGGAGCCTTGAAATAGACACGAACTTGATAAGGCATGAAGGCAGGCACAGACCCTGGTGGATTACATCCTAATGAAGAAGCCCCTGCCCTGGCTTTGTCTTTTCAAGGTCTTTCTATTTGAGTGATTGGTTCACTAATGCCAGTGGAGTCATCTAACAGCCAGTTGACAAGTGGTCAAAGGGATACAGTTCAAACACAGAGATTTGTAAATTCCAAATTAGAATATCAGCAAGCTTATTACACTGGGAGATAGACTGGTTAAGATGTAGGACCCTTTCAACTTGGATGTGCTATTATTCTGTAAAACAGTAAGGCCCACTAAAAGGCAATCCCAGATTGTGCAGGTCGGAGATTCACTGGGTAACTATGAAGTTGGAAGCTTTTATTTCCTTTTATCATTTATTTCCACCAAAAAATAGTTAAAGGCATAAATAAGCATGTGCATAAATGGAGGAAAGTTTGAGAGTGCTTTCTCCATGTGGCTGAAGACTTTGAACTTTTTTTGTCTCCAGTGCAAATACCATCCCTGTTACCTGGGCGTGCGCTGCGTGAACTTGGCTCCTGGCTTCAGATGTGACGCCTGCCCGGTGGGCTTCACAGGGCCCATGGTGCAGGGGGTAGGGATCAATTTTGCCAAGTCAAACAAGCAGGTAGGCTGAAGTTATGGTTTCTATTTATTTTTCATCTTAACAGAACAATTTTGATTAGTTCCTACCTCTTCAGTACCTCCTTAAGCAGCCAATGCCATATGGAATGTCATGGTGCATGATGAACAAATTAGGAAGTTTTTCAACTCATTCCTGAGTATACAAGGGTGCTTCACAAAGTTCATTGGAAGAGTCGTATTGTCTTTCAATTCTATTTTTCCATGAACTTTTTGTTTGTCTGAAGTACCCTCATATGTTTGTAAAGTTTAGAAAGGAGGAAGCTGTGACGTTGGGATAATAGAGGTTCACTAGAAAAACAGTGAGTGGGGTAAGACTGCTATGTGGCATGGTTTCACATTTATTTTGTTGATAGACATTGAACATTTTGTCCTGCAGAATAACTTGAGAATCAGGGAAACAAATAAAAGCTTTGAAAAATTAGGTCATTTTTATAGAATCATTGTTGCCAATTGGAAGCTGTTTTAGAGATGAGCGGATTTCAAGAGTAGAAATAATCCCCTGAGGAAACCTACCCTTTCTCTTATATAAGCTATAAATTGCCATAAAGCATTTGAGTACTTCAAGACAGTCTCCATTTATTTCCAAATGTTCTACTATATCCTTGCCATTATTTAACTGACTGACTATGAAATTCTTTTTGATGTTTTTAGCCCTTAAAAATGGTTGGTCTATAAATATATTTTACTGCCTTGGGGAAATTATTCCCTTTGAAGAAGGGCAGGGGTTCATTATTTCCTAGCTGCCTATCAAAGGATTCTGGAGGGCATCATGTTTTAGACTAGAAAAAGGAGGCAAGCTAGACACATAAGAATGATAAGAAGACATTAAAGGAATGACCCAAAGTTTTTCTTCCTCTCCTCTAAAGACAAAATCTCCAAGACTAAACCCAGAAAAATAGACAAAATGAAATAGAAGGTGCTGGGTGTAAGCTAGTATGGAGCACTTCCCAGTGGATTTCCAGCAATATGATAGAGTGAACTGAAGCAGAAGGAAGCCACCTTGCTAAAACTTAACAAATTTTAACGCATCCCAAGGTCAAAAGAAATAAAAGGAAATGGTGTAAGTTCCCAAAACAAAGAGGGAACTCAAAGCCGGAACTGTGAATGGAAGCTGACAGCACCACAGCTGATAGGAGGTGGAAGCTGGAGTTTTAACACTTTCGTGGATACAGAAAACGTAGTCTTGAAACTTTAGAAAGACCTAACACCCCTGCAGAAGTCCCGGAGCCTCTAAGAACTACCCTGTCCATTACAAGGAAATGGAAAACTTTAGTAGCCCTCAGAAACAACAAAACAGCTTGATTTCAGCTTTGAGACATGGTTGACAAAAATTAAGATTGCCCACAACAAACCAAAGCTCCAGGCTTGTACCACGTACAGTTATGAGCTTCAAATCTATGTTACACATACAATGCAGAAACACAAGCCAAAAAACTAAAATAAAAACCAACCCCGAGGCAGGAAAATCCCCAGGACCCTGGCTAAAGTCAAAGACGTAGCACTACGTGAAGACACTCCAAAATCAGGGCTAGTGGAATGACCACAGGCAAAACCAGGGTTACTGAAGATATGCTTGTAACCCAAATGGTGGATATATGAAGAAACCATCATGAAGAAACATGATAGATATAAAATAAGTTTAGAAAACTAAAGAGATAAAAGAAGGAATATATACCATAATTAAAGAATAGGGCGATGTGGAAAAAACAGGCAAGTTAGAGAAATACCCATCTAAAACATTTATCATTAAAAATATAATCATGGAGAGGCCAGCCCGGTGGCACACTGGATAGTGCGCCGCTTGGGAAGCGCGGTGGCGCTCCCGCCCGAGGGTTCGGATCCCACATACAGACCGGTTCCCGCTCACTGGCTGAGCGAGGCGCGGGAGCAACACCGAGGGTTGCGATCCCGTTGCCGGTCCCCGGTCCGGTACAGGGGCAACACTGAGGGTTGCGATCCATTGCCGGACACGGAAAAAGACAAAAGACAAATATATATATATATATATATATATATATATATAATCATTGAATTTAATAATTCAATAGATGGGCAAAACAGATTAGACACAGCTAGCAGGGAATTCAAAGGCTGGGAGGTGAATCTGAGGAAATATCCAGAATGTAGCACAGAGAAATAAAGATATGGAAAATATAAACAAAAGGTTAAGAGTCAAATGAAGATATTACTAAGAAAGTCCAGTATTTGTCTAATTGTAGTACCGAAGAAAGGATAGGAGTGGAGGGAAGCTGAGGATTTCCCAGAATTGTAGAAAGAGAGGAATCCTCTGATAGAAGGAGAACATTGAGTCTCAAGGAAGATAAAAAAGCTTCCTGACTAGAAAGATTGTGGGACAGATAAATAGTACAAGTTGTCTTTCCTGCACAACTTTAAAAACCATGAAGGCAGTTCTCATCTGCAATTAGATTAACTATAGACCCTTGCAAACACAGGGTGATAGCTAAAATAACTATTCTACCTGAAATTTTGTTTTCACTTCACACAAAGATATCAAAACAAAGGAAAATTCATTTGTATTTCTATCTAAGCAGTGTGTCTCTCTAAACTTTCTTTAAACTTTTCTGCACTAGGTCTGCACTGACATTGATGAGTGTCGAAATGGAGCATGCGTTCTCAACTCTGTCTGTACTAACACCTTGGTACGTATTTCTCACAAATGTTATCAAAGCAGAACGAGTTATTAAAACATATTAAAATGAGTGGTTGTTTATAGAACACAACCCCAAAACACACGTAAAACACATGGACATAATATATTTGGTTGGCAGAATAAGGGCAAAAGTTTGTGCTGATTCAGTGTTTAATATACGAGTAAGTTTCTAAGCAATTTTTTATATAAGGACAATTTTATAAGTGCCAAGTTTGTTCTTTATCTTCTATCAAAGTTGTGGTACTGGGGGCCGGCCTGGTGGTGCACTGCTACAGTGCGCCGCGTGGGAGCGCAGTGGCGCTCCTGCCGAGGGTTCGGATCCCACATACAGACTGGCCGCTCACTGGCTGAGCGAGGTGCGGGCACAACACCGAGGGTTGCGATCCCGTTGCCGGTCACGATAAAAGACAAAAAGGAAAAAAAAAAAAAGTTGTGGTACTGGGCTCTAAAATAACTATTGAATAAAATATTACTATCCTACGATAAAAGACAAAAAGGAAAAAAAAAAAAGTTGTGGTACTGGGCTCTAAAATAACTATTGAATAAAATATTACTATCCTTGTATTTTAAAAATATGAAGAGCTTGTTGGTTTATATTAATAGTTCAGTATTTTACTGGTAACTACACAATCTGCAAAAGTATTCCTTATTTTCATGAAATTTTTCAAAAGCCATTTGTATTAAATCAAAATGCTTAGCACTTAGGGAGTTCTGTAATTTAAACATTTAGATATGGGTTTTATTCCTGTCAGCTGTGTCTAAGATGAAGGATATAGCAGAGTAGCCTGTCAAAAGAACTACTGATACCATGGATGATTGTTTCTAACTTACCATATGTCCCTGGGAAAGTTACTTATCCGCTAGGTTCCTAGTTTGCTTGTAAGTAAAAGTACATTACAAATATTAAGTCAGTTATTGTAATCCTCACGACAACACTGTGAATAGGCACTATGTGTATTCCCATTTTAAAACTGAAGAAACTGAGGCACAGAAAGGTTACATCATTAGGTTAAGGTCACACATCTCACAAGACTTCCACTCTGGCTGCAGAGCCTGAGTTCTTCTCTGTAACGCTGTCCTGCTTAGGAATGTATGGGGATTTATTGCTGCTTAGCTTTTTACCAGGACAAAGCTGGTCTGCAGAAACAGATTTGGGAGGCATTGGTATAAAGGTCATAACAGAAGCCACCCAGAGAGAAAGAAAGTAGACAGTGGGTAAAACTCCAAACAGTGGGAACCCCCAGAATGAAAGAAGAGAGGGGGCAAAAGAAAAAAGCAGAAGCCAAGCGAGGAGTGAGCGGAGAGTGAGTCCACTGGGGCTGACAGACAAGGAAGATCATTGAAAAGCATCCTTTGGACTTGGCAATTAAGAGGTCGTGAGAGACGAAAATCATTAAACTGTGTACTTTAAGTGGGTGGCTCCTATGATATGTAAATTTTATCTCAACAAAGCTGCATAAGGTGAATAAGGTCTGAGGATCTAATGTACAGCATGGGGACTGTACAGTTGACCCTTGAACATCACAGGTTTGAACTGTGTGGGTCCACTTACATGAAGAGTTTTTAACCAACCATGTATTGAAAGTGCAGCATTCGTGGGATGTGGAACCCACGTATACAGAGGGCTAACTGTGGGACTTAAGTGTATGTGGATTTTGGTATACTCAGAGGTCCTGGAAGCAATCCCCCATGGATACATGGATACCAAGGGACGACTATAGTTCATAATACTGTATTGTATACATGAAATTTGCTGAGAGAGTAGATCTTAAGCATTCTCAACAAAAAAGAAAGAACAGGTAACTATGGATGTGTTAATTAACTGACCGTGGTAATCATTTCACAATGTACACGTATATCACATCATCATGAGGTATACTTTAAATATATATAATTTTCTTTTTCCCTTATACCTCAATAAGGCTGAAAAAAATAATAAAAAACACACTTCAATATATATACACACACATTTAAAAATTAAAAAAAGGGTGAGGAGAGTCCTGCCTGGCCCTGGAAGTGCCGCTGGAGTGAAGCTGACAGCTCGTTTGCTGGTTTCTTCCATAGTAGCCTACCTCATCAGGAATTTTCCATGCAAGCCACCCATTTCTCTGTGCACCTGTTTCTTTGTCACTTGATTGGAACAGAGCCAAAGGAACAGTAAAAAAAAAAATCTTAACTTGCTTTTTAATCAAATCATCTCCCTGTCTTCTCATGCCACCTGAGGACCTTTGCTCACAGTTTTGAGCTCCCAGCTCATCATCTTCTCTTTGTCCTCGCAGGGATCTTATCGCTGCGGGCCTTGTAAACCAGGGTACACTGGTGATCAGACAAGGGGATGCAAAGTTGAAGGCAACTGCAGAAATCCAGAAAAGAATCCTTGCAGTGTGAACGCGCAGTGCATCGAACAGAAACAAGGGGACGTGACGTGTGTGGTAAGTTGTTCACTTCTTTTTTCCTCTTCCATCTGAAACACCCGTCCTCTCCTTTTTCTACTTGCTTCAGGGTAAAAGTACTCAAAAATGAAAATGTTACAATCAAAATAAGCACGGAATGTAATAGGAACAGTTTTGTGGGGGAGCAGCCTCAAGTCCTTCTGTCCATCAGGTCCCTCTCTCTCCCTCTTGGCCATGGGTGACACCATGCCCTTGGGCACCTGGATGGTGCAGCCCCAGCTCCCAAGCATATTCTGTGGGCCCCAGAAGGCAGCAGCAGGGACATGGAGGAGCCTCCTTCCCTTCTTCTACCCTATCTTCTTGTCTGTACAATTTACAAGCTTACCTGCTGTCATTTCTAATTGTCCTCACTCATGATTTCCAGTATCAAAATCCGGCCTAAGACTCCAGGGTCTAGGTCGCAGTGCTGAGGTGGGGGCTGTTGTAAACCCTCAGAGAGAAGCCTCTCGTCTCCCGCAGGTGAGAGGAAGGGGGTGGACGGCACCAGTCTCTGTGTCCCCCTCCACCCCGATTCAGGGATAGCTCAGTGAGTGATCACTCTCCTGTGTATTCCCCAGCCCTGCAGTCAATCTGGGGAAGAGGAGACCGGGAAGAGAGGAGGGTAGTAGCAGCCTGACACGGGTCTCACATGGAGCTTGTAGTGGGCACTCTGGGAAGAAGGCTCGTTCCTGCCATCCGCTCTCAGAGCCTAGGATCCAGAGGCCCCGGGGATTCAGTCCCTGAGAACTGCGCACGCTCTGGCTGCTCCCCTCCTGCTAACTTCCCTGCACTGGACCCTCAGCAGGCGGCCCCGCAGGTCTGGGATTCACAGGTTCATGGTGATCCCCTCGGAGCAGCAGCATGGATTCTGGGAGACTTTTTCCCTCTTCTTTATACCTCAGACTTAGACTTCTTTATCTTTACACATGCAAATTTTCTACAATGAGCATATCACTTTTCAAATAGGAAAGATAATAATAGAAAACTAAGTAAAAGAAAAAAAATATAAGAAAGTCAGCCCTCTCTGTCAGTACAGATATCCTTTAACAAGATCAGGATGAAGGAATATGCTGTGTTTGACGGGGAAAACCCAACAATTCCCCTAATTCCTGTTGGTTGGGCATGTTTATTACCAAAGAACAGTCGCTGAGAAGCAAGTGTGTATCTATGATTAAATCCTCATTTTCTGTGAACAAATTATGACTCCCCTGGGATGGTGGGTGATGGGGCTCTTAATATGTTTTTGAATTGGTAATAAAGCACAACGACAGATGGTAAAGGATTAATAAACTTGGTGTGACTACTAAAATAATTTAATCTGCCAGAAAATGGCTCATTAAAAATGTATTTGTTCCTAGAGGAAATTTTTTTCCTTATTAAAATGAGTCAAAGACCATACCCCATGGCTGAGTGTTCCTGCCTCCCAGGGCGCTGCCGAAGCCAGTGAGCGGGAGCAGGGGCCGTTCCAGGAGGGCTCTCGGGACCCCTGCGGTCGAACTCTCTGGTGTGGAGGGAGAGCGCGGGTGGCTGGGACCAGGCCGAGGCAGCTTAGGAGTCGCTGGTCTGAAAGCACCCACTTTCCCCAGGGAGGCACGGAAAGCTCGCTTTCCCTTGGCCCTCACTCTGCTGCTCAGACTCTCCCTCTTCTCTCCTTTACCTCCTGTCACAGGCTGACTTTTCCTCGCCCCGCACTTACTGCTCCCTGTCATCTCCAGAGTCCCCTTCTCTCATCTTCCTTACCTTGTTCTGCCTGTCCTCCTCTGGAGCCCGTTCCCACCTGGGTCACCTCTCTTGGAAGGGGGGGTCTCTTTCTCCCAGGTGTCAGTCATCCCTTAATTAGGCCAACTAGGATATGGAGTTCGGGGAAAGAATTCACAAGCATGCATGGGCCAAATGTGAATGGCAAAAGACACTGGAATGGGACAGGCTTGAGTTCGCATCGCAGCTCTCCTTTCCCAGCTCCGAGACCTCAGGCAAGGCACTTCAGCACTCTGCTTTCTCCACCCTTCCGTAAAATGGGATCACGGAGACCTGGCAGCATCACTGCAAGGACAGGAGAGAATGTTTGTAAAGAGTCTGGTAGAGAATACCTGTCATTTAATGCCTATTCTGCTGGTAATGAAGGCTTGCTCTCAGCTGCAGCTGGTGGCAGGATACTTGGGTAGACATCTCCAGGGAAGGAGAGACACGCAGACCCAGCACGGCACCCATGGGAACCTTTCTCTGTTAAAAGAGTATGAATGGAGATGAAGCACCTCGGAGGGTTTCTCCTTTGGTGGAAGTAGATCCAGCAGGCTGTTAGATTTGGAGATATGACTGGGGCTCAAGAATGATCAGGGAGGTGCCACAGAAGCCACTCTGCCCACTTATCCATTCATTTCTGGTGGTAGAATAAATCAGACAATCATATGGAGAACGTTTTGACAATAACTCAAAATTACAAATACAGATACTCTTTGAACCAGGAATTCTAGGTTATGAAACTGGCTCACATGCAGAGTGACATCTGTACCAGAATTATCTGTGGCAGCATTGTTTGCAATAGAAAAGATGTTAAAAACCTGACACCCACCAATAGGAAACTGGTTGAATTAACTGAGACACATTCATACAGCCTTCTGTAGGATACATCTGTGGCCATTAAGAATGGCATGAATCTTCATGGAGTGATATGCAAAGTACTCCAAGATTTAATGTTTAGTTAAAAAAAAAAATCGAGGTGCAGAACAGTATATACTTATATATGAGTGCTACCAATTGTGTAAAAGGACAAAAAGAGAAAGAGACTGTATGTGTATGTGCTTGTCTGTGCACAGCGTATCTCTGCAAGTGTGCATGAGTACGGGTTGCCCGAGCCATAGGAGCGGGAGTGGGAAGCAGAGTTTTCACTATACTTCACCTTGTACCTTTTGAATTTTGAACCATTAGACTTTTTAAATACAATTAAATAGTTTTTAAATCCCACCCACAAGGGTGTCTGGCTCCAGGCCTTCCTGGGGATGCACGCATCGACAAAGCAGGGGCTCTTGTCAGCCCCCGCCTCCCTGCCAGGCTCAGCATCCAGGTCTCTCATGGGCTCTCCCTTCACAGTGTGCAGTTGGTTGGGCTGGTGATGGCTATGTCTGTGGAAAGGATGTGGACATCGACAGCTACCCCGACGAAGAACTATCATGCTCTGCCAGGAACTGCAAGAAGGTAAGGAGAGCAAGCAGAAATAATGATAATGATGATCATAACAACAACAATAATAATAATGATATGGGTCTTTCCAAAGGCACATCTTATATGGGGTAGAGCTTCTGTGGGTCCCATTTAAAATTGCATTTTTAAAGTAGCCACATCTCAAATGGGGCAAAACAGCCATCAACAATAAAGCCAAGCAGGCACAGTCAGTCTTGAGGTCAGAAATAGCTTCAACTTAAGGCTAATGTAGGTTGTTGCTCTGAGCTGTGTTTCCGCCTTAGGACAACTGCAAGTATGTGCCCAATTCTGGCCAAGAAGATGCAGACAAAGATGGCATTGGGGATGCTTGTGATGATGATGCTGATGGAGATGGGATCCCGAATGAGCAGGTACTTGCTTTGCTGGGAGGGCCTGTGAATTGCCACATACAGGGGGTGATGGAAGGAAGCCCATGAAGTCAGCTGTTTAAATTAAGTATCCCAAATGTCAGTTTCCATGCCCGCATTCCCGTAGCACTGCAACTTCTTATTCTGTAAGATTCGCAAATGTTTGAATATAAAACTGACAAACTTGAGCTGTTTAAATTAAGTATCCCAAATGTCAGTTTCCATGCCCGCATTCCCCTAGCACTGCAACTTCTTATTCTGTAAGATTCGCAAATGTTTGAATATAAAACTGACAAACTTGGGCCACCAGGGTTCTGACAACTCATAACAATGGGGAAGTGGATTCAGTAAAAGTCTAAGTGTTGTATCTTCTCATCTTTTAGGATAACTGTGTCCTGATTCACAATGTGGACCAAAGGAACAGTGATAAAGATACCTTTGGGGACGCCTGTGATAACTGCAAGACTGTCTTAAACAATGACCAGAAAGACACTGATGGGGATGGAAAAGGAGATGCCTGTGATGATGACATGGACGGAGATGGTGAGTGTGTCTTCTTGGTCTTTTATCTGGCATTCTTTTGTCCTTTTGTCCTTGTTCTCTGTCAAGAGTAGAAACTGACTCAGGGCCTTCCAGCTCTGGTGGTTCAGTACATCTGGAGGGCTCAAGGTTGACTTGTTTCTGTGGAAGGAGGCTCTGCAGCCCACTCCCCTATTTAATGGCTCTAGATGTTTCTGGGACTCCATATCATTGCTGGAAACTTTGCAAGATCCCTTCAAGCAGAGCTGTGTGTTGGCAGGGCATCTCCCTTCCCAGATTATACCTTTCCCCACTCCCTACCACTCTTTTCCCATGTGAGAGACCTGGATATGGAGAATTGAATGAGAGGGCTTTGAGCAGGGTCACGTGCTACACTCTGTGGGTCAAGCTCCTCTTGAGAACTAGGTATTTCCCAGGCAACACGCCTATCCCCTGCCTGTTCCGGAACAGCTGTGGAGGCAGGTGACTGCATTGCTCAGCTCCAGGGACTCCACTGCAGGGACCACGTGTGGGGTTGATGTAAGGGGCACCCCCTGGAACACAACTCTTGCCTGCTCTGGAGCTTCACAGGACTTGAGGGAGGACATTTGTTCCTGTATAGGTCCTGTAGCACATAGATGGCTGTCATTACAGGACAGGCTGAAAAATATATAGTGTTTGAAAAACACATCACAGGGCTTTGAAGGAAAATTCTTTTGGAAATACTGCCCCCCGAACATGCACACACCCTATTCCAGAGTGTCTACACCTCCCTAAAACATGACCTCCCCTTCTATGAGTCCAACTGCTGACCCAGATCCAGTGGTGTGCTGTAAACCAGCTCAGTGGAACAAACCAAAGAAAGCTCTGATTTGTAGCATCTGCCAGTTTCCACAATGTAACTACTCCCTTCATCACTGATTTCAAGCCATCAGTATGACATAACTGAATGCAAAACTGGGAAGAGAGGGACTCAATGAGCTGGCTCCAGCACACCACTGCCTGGAGCCCTTGGGTCCTGGCATAGCTCAGACACCCACAATGTCCTCCTCTCCAGGGTCAGCCCACCTAGCAGCCATCATGACCCCCTCCTCTGGCTGTTGTCATAGCCCTTGACATCTTCAACAAATTAGCATTCAGTGGGTGAATGCCTCCAAGAGCTGTTCATTTTAAAGTCTCCCAGAATCCATCCTTGGAAGTTGCCTGCAGATGGCTGCTGAAAGGAGTAGTTGCTCTGTGACAATAGCTGGGTGGAAGCAGCTCACCCCAGGCCTGATCTCTACAGCACCTGGAAGCCAGCATTCCATCCCCATGTGTGATGTTCCCCTGGCTCAAGGCAGCATTCCTTTCTTGCAGGAATAAAAAACATTTTGGACAACTGCCCAAAAGTTTCTAATAGCAACCAACAGGACAAGGATGGTGATGGTGTGGGGGATGCCTGTGACAGCTGTCCTGATGTCAGCAACCCTAACCAGGTTAGTAGGCTCAGGGGAATTCTGATGCTAGGCTGAGCTCCCCTGTGCAAAGGCTCATTTAAGCATCTAGAGAAACAGCAGAGCCTGCCGGCCACTTCTTTGCTGTTGCCTCTTACTTCACAAGCAGAGGTGGAGAAGTGACACATGGTGGGCCTGATGATGAGGGGACAAACTCCACAGGAGATCTGAGACCCTTGGGACTAATTTCACAGGCTGTCGAGTGCCTACGAGGTTAGTAACAGGAGCTTCATGGTGCCAAAAACAAGTTTTTTCTGCTGAAAGGAAAACAGAATATGAAAGCTAACCATTGACAGCCTCTGTGCCTGTAGTCCCCAAACCCCTACGCAGCCTATGTGCGGACATTTCAGATTAAGTTCAGTGATATGTTGATTTCCCTTCTCACTCCCCCTCCCTGTCTGGATAATTGGGTTTGATGTGTCATTTATTTTGAAAGCCCTGAGTGGGGGGAGTCTTGACTGTCCTCTGTGACTCACTCACCATTTTGGCTCAATTCCAAAATGCAGAAGCAAAGCAAAATCAATTTGCCTTGTCCCCCTGCCCATTGGTTGGCTCTGCTCCGACCCATGCCAGAGTTCCATGTCTCCACCTGCCACCGTGCTACCCTAGCGCCCTTTCCAATCAGCTCATCTGGTGTGTAGGCAGCCCATCCATGTAGCTTGATATTTTAGAAGGCTTTTCTGGAAATTCAGCATTGTGCCTACACCAATATGGTGTTGTCCTTTTGCAGTTTTACACCATCCCAGTTCCAGAGAAATAATTTCTAAAATCCAGTGATGATGGGCCAGGTCTGCCGCCTTTGGAACCTTCTGTACGTGCAGAACCAGGGATAAATAACAATGTGTTCTGTTGTCTTTGCAGTCTGATGTGGACAATGATCTGGTAATCCCAATTCCAGAGAAATAATTCCTAAAATCCAGTGATGATGGGCCAGGTCTGCCGCCTTTGGAACATTCTGTACGTGCAGGACCAGGGATAAATAACAATGTGTTCTGTTGTCTTTGCAGTCTGATGTGGACAACGATCTGGTTGGGGACTCCTGTGACACCAATCAGGAGAGGTATGACATCTCCCAGCTGCAGAGGACCAGATGCAAAAATCCAGAGAGAGTTTTGACTTTCAGAGCTTTCTGCTGCTACCGTGCTTTGGGATCTCTCTGGGTAGACTGGGCTGCTAGTGGGACCTCTCTGAAAGTTCCGTGTAGGGAGTGACAGTGTCAGGAGGGGCCAGTCGGCACTCCAGCAAGTGGGGTCTCTTATAGAAGAGACAGTATAGAGTCCTGCTTCACAGATGGTCTCTGGAGCAGGACAGCTACATGTTAATCCCGGCTCCTTCTCTTAGAACTGGCTAACCTTAGGCACGTTACCTAACCTCCCAGTGCCTCAATCTTCTCCTCTGTGCAATGGGGATGACTGTAGATCTCACGCATAGGACTATTGTGAAGATTGAGTTAATCTGTGAAAAGTACTAATTATGGTCTCTGTTATATACATAGCACACAATAGATACTAGCTTTTTTAGGACAGCTACATGTTAATCCCGGCTCCTTCTCTTAGAACTGGCTAACCTTAGGCACGTTACCTAACCTCCCAGTGCCTCAATCTTCTCCTCTATGCAATGGGGATGACTGTAGATCTCACGCATAGGACTATTGTGAAGATTGAGTTAATCCGTGAAAAGTACTAATTATGGTCTCTGTTATATACATAGCACACAATAGATACTAGCTTTTTTATTGTTATACTCTTTCAACTTTGGAAAACTTCATTATCATCCCAAAATGGAAAGTTGTCAGTTTGCTGAGGGATTTCATTGTCCTTGAAATCTTTTTATTCAGTTTTCCATATTTGAGTGGAATTGTTCTGTGCACATGAATTCTGTCAATCCCCCCAGCCCAACACAATGGAGCCCTACACTAAGACACAGAGTTGGAGAAGATGCTGCAGGAAGATCACCAAAAACACAGACATGTGCCACTTGACTCTAGAGGCACCTGCAGTCCGTGGCCCTTTCATCTTCCTAGGGAATCCTTATAGAAGCAGCCAGGACAGGGATGAGACGGAAAGGATTCTAAAAGGAAAAGCAGGGAGAGACAGAGAGACATAGATTCAGGTATTCCCTTCTATCACCTGGATCAGAGGATGCCCTACAGACACCAGTTCTTGACCCAAACCTTGCTCAAGAACAGCTCCTATGAAGTCCCATCTCCTGCTTTCTGCTCTGTGTCCTTGCTGCAAAATACATACTAGCCAAATGAACTTAAGACATACTCCCCAATCTCTTGGCATCTCAACTTCTTTATCTGCCTAGTAGAGATAATTCAACACATCTCCCAGGTTATGATGAAAATTCAAGATAATGTAGGTAATGCTCCCAGCACAGTGCTGGCCCTCAGGTGACATGAAAAAATGGTGCTGTGTTATTATCGGCATCACAGCACTAGGAGGGGCGAGTCGGTGATGGAATCGCTCTGATTCTGAGCAGAAGGTGGGACTGCCATGCCGCCGACAGCCCTAAGTGATGCACATCAAGCCCGTTCCCTGGCAGGTCATCCTGCACTTGATTACCATCTATAGTAGTTTCTAAAATAGCCTGTCCCCCCTGCATTTAGATATTTGCCTGAAACAAATGATTCATCGTGCTACATTTTAATTCCCACAAACTTGAACCTTGGGGAGGAGGACAGGAACTGCTTATTTTTGCATAATGTTCAGGACTATATAGAATGGCTGCTAATGGAAATAGCTCAATCTTCTGTTTTAATAAGCAGCCTTGCTGCAGGCACAGGGCTTCTGCTGTTTGAGCCGTGTCATCTTCTGCTTGTCCAGATTGGCCTGACTTTACTGGGCCCCTTCAATCCTCCTGTACCCATCTGGAGAGTGTGGCCTGCAGGGCATGGACTGGTCCCTGGCTGCCCTGCCACAACCTTTCCTAGAGGGGATAGGGGCAGTTCTTGGCCCAGGACAGGCTGCAGGTGCGACAGGGTGAAAGGAGTGTCTGCTGTGAATCAGAGCAGCCCTGTGAGGTCTCAGCGTACTCAGGGAAACCTCGCGGATAGTGCAGACCCCTGGGTGGCCCTTCGGCCTGGAAAGAAGAGTGAGGTGCACAGAGAGTGAGCATTCTAAGAAGTCCTGTAGACCAGCACTGAGCGCAGCCTGCAGGGCTCCTCTCGGGGAGGGGCGGCTCTGTCTCTACCACTCTCCCCATGGCATTCAGGTCCGAGGCCCCTCTGGCCCACTGGCCCAGGGCTGTGAAGAGCAGCAACATAACAGAAAACACTGCAGGGCTTCCCATGAGTCAGGCACTGAAGAAGTGCTTTTTCATATACTATCATTTAATATGCAGAATTCTGGTCACTTTAATCACTGAATCTTCATAACGACCCTGTGAGTGGGTACTGTTATTATCCCCATTTGACAGATGAGGGCACTGAGTCAGAGAAAGGCCGAGTATCATGGCTGAGGTCACATGCTGCTCCGTGGCTGAGCTGGGATTCACCCTGAGGCCACCTGGCTCCACTGCCCCTCGCTCTGTTCCCTTCATCTACCCGCTGGGTCAGGTATCACCTAGCAGTCCCCAGGGACACTTAGGAGCATCTTGTCACACATCACAGAAATAGACCCTTATCTTTTGAGGAGGAAATGACTCACTTGTTTCAAGAGGTTGGAGAAGTGGGAAAATTGTCTCTGAAGCCCACAGGGCAGCTTTATCTAAGGAAACGACCCTAGTGGGTTTGTTAAAAAACCAAGCCTAGTAGAAACCCCAAACACAGACTCCTTCCTGAGAATGGATGTTTCCTGTCTCTGCTGAACTGCAGTCCAAGCCACCTCTCCTTTCTCCTGCAGTGATGGAGATGGGCACCAGGACAGCACAGACAACTGCCCCACCGTCATTAACAGTGCCCAGCTGGACACCGATAAGGATGGAATTGGTGATGAGTGTGACGACGACGACGACAATGATGGCATCCCAGACCTGCTGCCCCCTGGACCGGACAACTGCCGGCTAGTGCCCAACCCAGCTCAGGAGGATAGCAACAGTAAGGGGGCTCAGCCCAGGGCTGCAGGGGACCCCCAGCTCCCTTCGGCCAGGCACATGGGGCACACCTGTCCCAGGGCACTGACTCAGAGCATCCCCAGCATCCCCTCCTCCCATCAGCCGACAGAGGGCCTTGCTTCTCCTAACCCAGCTTCTCCACCGAGCTGCAGCTTGTGTGGACAGGAGATGTCCATCCGAGCTGAGCTCACCTTTTCCTGAGCAGCCCTGGGGTGAGCTCACACAGGGCAGGGGAGCAGCCACCTGCCACAGCATAGTTCCCAGGGGCCTTGGAGAGCTGCTTGGCCGTCTCACCTGCTCCTTTCACTGGGAGGCCGGAGAAGAAGAGGGAGGGGAGAGAGAATTCAGAGCAGACATGGTGTGGGTGGGTTCACAATCCCAGATGCCCACAGGGCCAGGCACATGAGGAAATGTGTGCACCAGGCCAGGTATGAGACAGCACAGACTGGTGGGACCATAGTGACCTGGAGAGGGCATGCCCATCCACAGCGATGCAAATTCAAATGTTTCAGTGTCATCGCGTCAGCTGAACAAGACATTCTTGTGAGCCACAATCAGCCCAGGGGCCACCGGAAGTTACCGTCTTAGAGATACTCTGATAACAATGATAGTTCCCCTGCCTTTTACACATCATAGTCCAGAAAGTGCTGCAGCCATTTGTTAATATAAAGTCAGGCTTAAGATGCGGAACCTACCTGTATGTAATAAGAAATCTCTGGGGAGAGAGGGGAGGGCAACTGTTCAAACTGATCTTACAAGAAGCTCTGGATGTCCTCTGAGGGCTGGCCTGGTCGCCCATCTCAAGACTTCCAGGATGGGGCCCAGGTAGCTCAGACACGACAGATCCCAGGGCTCCTCTTCCAACACTGGTTGAAAATCGGAGCCCTGGAGGTGGCAGCTTGGGCTTTTTTAATGTTCCTTGCCCAGCCCCCTTTCTCTGTGGAGGAGTGGGGGTGGGCATGGGCATTATTGAGCCCCTGTCCTTTCTCCGCCCTTCACAGGTGACGGGGTGGGAGACATCTGTGAGACTGACTTTGACCAAGACCAGGTCATTGATCGGATTGATGTCTGCCCGGAGAATGCGGAGGTCACCCTGACTGACTTCAGGGCCTACCAGACCGTGGTCCTGGATCCTGAAGGGGATGCCCAGATCGATCCCAACTGGGTGGTCCTGAACCAGGTGTGTGTCGTGTAGCTGGCAGTGCTCAGCTCTGCCCTCTGACAGCAGTAGGCAGCATTAGAGGTGCTGACTACGAGTCAGGCACTGTTCATGTCACGTTCGTTCCTCACAGTAGCCCTACGACAAAGAACTTTCATTATGCCCTTTTTACAGATGATGAAATCAAGTCCCATAAAGCATTAATGACTGCTCATGGTAGCACTGCAGTAAGTGGCTGAGATGACTGGAATTGGGACCCGGGCAGTTTGATCCTAGAGCCCATGCTCCTAATCTCTCCAGTAGACTGCCTCCTGCGTGCCCTCCCCGTGTGTAACTAGGGAAGGAAGGCACAGAGAGGCTTAGTAGACTTGCCAGGGTCACAGAGCAGATCACATTCTATAGAAGTGTATGCCGTACATTCCCTGATTAAGGGTTTATTTAAATCTTTTTATGGAGGTCAGATGTCACTGGCCACTCACTCGTGGTGCATGAGGTTCTGGGCACTCTGAGTTTGCTGAGCCCTCCTCAAGACTGTTCTAAACTCTCTCGACTTTCTCCGCAGGGCATGGAGATTGTGCAGACCATGAACAGTGATCCTGGCTTGGCAGTGGGTATGTCCAGGGCCCCATTACCACTCGTAGAATTCTTCCAGCTACTAGTATGGTTTATTTTTCTAATGTTGTCTGATCTCTACAGGGTACACAGCTTTTAATGGAGTTGACTTCGAAGGCACCTTCCATGTAAATACCCAGACAGACGATGACTATGCAGGATTTATCTTTGGTTATCAAGACAGCTCCAGCTTCTACGTGGTCATGTGGAAGCAGACGGAGCAGACGTACTGGCAGGCCACGCCATTCCGAGCTGTTGCAGAACCTGGCATTCAACTCAAGGTATTGGTGGTTTGAAGTCACTCATCTCCCTTGCTTCTGTGCCCTTCACCCTCCTTTTAAATTCCATGTTCTCCCGCATGGCACTTAGTTACTCTAAGAAATTGGTGCATTCGTGCTAATGTTCAAGTCAGGGAAGACTAGAGCCGACAGAGGGCCTTGCTTTCATCCCTTCTTATGTTCTAACCTGTGGGTGACTCTGATGGTGGGAATTTCATCCCAAGTGGGGTCAGGGATGTGGGGAAGGTTTGAGGTGCATCTTCAGGCACACTGTGTTGGACACTGGCTAATGCATTTCATTGATGGGGCCAACTTTATACAGGAGGGTTGATGGGCTACTTACTTCACTTCTGCTAAGACAGAAGGCAGGCTTCAGTAGCCCGACATTTGGTGCAAGTCCTCACCGAGCAAATTGGGGAGTCATGGATTTACAGCAGGAAAAAACGTGGAATAGGAGCAGGCGAATGCTTAGTACTGACGGGTTGGGAGTCATCTCAGTTGAAATGACATTTAAGTGTGTTTATGAAGTGTTTATGCTTTTGTCTGAATCCAAGGCAGCCAGATTATAACCATGAACTGACCTCAGATCCAGGAAGCAGGAAGGGTGGTCTGTGCATCCTGCTCTAAAACCTTGCTTGTGTCATTGTCCAGGCTGTGAAGTCTAAGACAGGTCCAGGGGAGCATCTCCGGAACTCCCTGTGGCACACGGGGGACACCAGCGACCAGGTCAGGCTGCTGTGGAAGGACTCCAGGAACGTGGGCTGGAAGGACAAGGTGTCCTACCGCTGGTTCCTGCAGCACAGGCCCCAGGTGGGCTACATCAGGTAAGCAAAGCACACCCCATCCTGCATCCCAGAGGCTTTGCTTCCTTGCGCAGGCCTGACCTAGGGTAGTCCTCAAGGACATGCCAGGATTTCCGTGACCACAGGCTCCCAGAAAAGAAGTGAGGGAGAAGACACTCAGGCTCAGACTGACTCGGTGGACAGTAGGGCCAAAGGGGGGACAGAAGGACCTTGAGGGTGAGGCCTCAGCATTGGGGAACTGGTACACTTGAACGTCGGTGCCCTTCTGTCATGCACTTCAGAAGCCTGAGAGTGGACGTGCTGACTGCTGTGGGGTAAGAGGTGAGGCTGGGTCTCTTGCCCACACCCTCCCGTGACTCTTCAGGGCCCTGTGCAATCCCTTGTTAGTGTGTATTTCACACTGAGTGCCCCGAGTCCCTCACAGTCTGTCTTCCCTACTGGACCATGAACTCGAGGGGGGCAACACCTGTGTCTTATTTTACCTTGGTTTCCCAGTGCCTAGCACAACACCTGGCATGTACTGCATGTAGCATGAACTGGTCATGAGGCAAGCCTATGTAACCTGCCTTCTTTACAGGACTTTTTAAAAAGTATTCTCAGGAGTCAGGTGGCTTAGGGCCACATCTTTGAAACTGAGACAGTGTACTTACTTTTTCCTTCGTCCAGCTTGCAGATCAACAGCCACACCAGCTTATGTAGTACCTTTAGGAAGGAGTTCTGATTGCATGCTCCTGACCAGGGCAGAAAAGCGGCCCAGTGGAAAAAAGAATGTTGTGGGGGCTGATTTACATTTTGATCTTTTTTATGACATGTCAAGTGTACTCTGTTTACCTCACAATAAGATGATCATGTTCTCAGCCGTATTAATCCCAGTGCCCCTTTTTTATAACAAATATTTGAAATGCCCCCTCTTCTGTCCCAAAATGAAATCAGAAAATGTAACCTACCTACACATAGAATTTTAGAAAACCAATCTGAGCTCTAACAATATAATAAAGAAATAAGAATAAATTAATTTATGACAAAATAAATACCTGAGCACAACCACACCAGAAGCCAAAATGAAATAGATACTTGCATCCATACCTAGAATCACTGTGAAGGAGACGTTCTACTACAGATTGTTGTGTCGGTGACTTAACTATTACAATGGTGTTTACATTAAAATCAGTGCAAAATATACTTGATATTCATAAGTAAAAGGGAGTTAGCTTGTAGGCCCCAATAATTAAAAATAGGCTCTTCACCTGTTCAGGTGTCTGGAGGAGCTCTCCAAAAGTGTGTGGGATGCAGGACAAGTTCTGATTGTTCTCTGAAGGGTATCATAAGCCATCCAGCATCCCTGGCTTGTGTCACTCAGTGCCACAGTGACAACCAAAAGTGTCCTTACAGATTTCTTAAAATCCTGCTTAGGAAGTGCTGTCTCCTGTTGAGAATCATTGCTCTGAGATTCCACCAAATGACATAAATCAGACCTAAGGAAAAGCAGAAGCATGATAACCAAAGTAACTCACAAGACGACGAAGTCACAAAGCCTCTCATTCACGACATCAACCTATTTCTTTTTAAAGACTCATCAGCTAGTATCTGTCAAGTTTGATTCTATGCCCAACATTGTGTCTTTCCTACTGAAAGACAGAAGTGGTGAAGATATGGACACATGGTCCCTGCCCTCAGGGAGCTTCCAGTCTAGTAGGGAAGGGGGAACAGCTAGAGCGCAGTCCAGGTCAGTGAGAAATGGAGTATCAAACAGGGTAAAGGCACAGGGGTGTAAGAAATGGGACCCCCGACTCTCAGGGTGAGCATTCCCCCTGGCTTGGGTTTCATGGAGACCCGCTCTGGCTGTGTGGTCTGCAGGGTGCGATTTTATGAAGGCTCTGAACTGGTGGCCGACTCTGGAGTCACCATAGACACCACTATGCGTGGAGGCCGACTTGGAGTTTTCTGCTTCTCTCAAGAAAACATCATCTGGTCCAACCTCAAGTATCGCTGCAACGGTAACGTATATTCTTGTTACTGCATCATCTTATTCCTAGAATTAATGAAATAATGCCTCTCCTAAAAGCCCAAAGCTCATGCCACATACTCACTAAAACCTGAGTAACAAGTAAAAAGCAGATCTCATTTTTCCTATTATATAGATGTGAAGATTGAGACCCACAGAATTTAACTGCTTGGCTTTGGGTTTGGGGTTCAAGTGAGAAATTGTCAGGTTTAATTTACAGGCAGCCTTTATTTTCATACAGCTCAAACATAATCACAGACTCAAAATCCACTCTGCCTGCTACTTTTCTTTAGGCCTGTGAATGAGCACTCCTGGGCTTTAAGCCAACAATTTGCAAAGCAGCCTAAAGTAGAAAATGGCTGCGGGGCCTTGCAGGCCTCTTGGGCAGGCTGACAGCGCCCCCTACAGGACACCTGCGCAGCAGGGAATGGACAGGATGCCGGGTGGAAGGAGCCTTCCTAACTAACCTCCCCTGTGCCCGTTCTTGTTGCAGACACCATCCCAGAGGACTTCCAAGAGTTTCAAACCCAGAATTTCGATCGCTCGGATAATTAAGACGATGAAGCAATCCTTAAGTGCTTTTCCAAACACTAAAACCATATAATTTTAAACTTCCTACAATTTTCTTTATATACACTGTGGCTTTCTTTTACTAGCCCAAATATATCAAAACTTTTTATATGAATGTGGCAATAAAGGAGAAGAGATTATTTCTAAAAACTGTGTTACCCAGCCATTGCTTATGTGTGGCTCAAGCTTTGATGGTATATGTTGTTCTCTGAGGGATCCTAATTGAATTTGCGGGTGATCTTTTTTTTTTTCTTCCTCAGACCAGGTAGTCAGTGAGATTGAGCATGCACATGAATTGGGGTGACCCCCAGGCCAAAGGTGCTCAGGGGCACCTTCCCAGAGAAGACTTTCTCTCACCAATCCTGAGGCAGATCTGTCCAATTCTTTCTGAAACTCTTCCCCCACCCCCCACATGCCTTCCACAGACTTCAGTTCGGGCACCTTCAACACAATTCTTATGCTTATTTATATATTTGGCTCCCCCTAGTGAAATGTAAGCTTACTGAAAATAAAGGATCATGTCTTATAATCAGTATCCCCACTGTACCTGTCACGTAGTAGACAGCTAATGCATGTTTGTTAAATGAATAAATGAAGAAGGAATGAATGAATGCCTCCTAAGTAGTAAGGACAATAGATTACATAAACCCTCCAACGACTCCACAAGCTGCTCACACGTTCTAACTATGGTTGTACCAGTAGCTGCATGTACATGGCAGAAACTAGCCTAATTTGTGCACTAGCCTGTCTTACATTTCCAGTTTTAAGTAAAAGACCCTGGCAAATTTTGATAAATTATCTAGGAATTTAGTTTCAAAGAATATTGTTATTTTCCAGAATTCTTGGAAATATCTTAAATCATAAATAAAAGATAAACAGTCTTACCACACTTACCATGACATTGAGTCAGAAAATACAGTGGCACATGTATGAGACATGGATGATTTCTGGACTTCTTCCTCACATGCAAAGCCCAGAGGTGTGTGTTGCCTTATGATTCAGTTCAGCTGATCTCCTACATCAAGATCTCCAGTGGGTGGAGACAACGCAGGGCTGCCCACCAACTGTTACTGCTGCTGACTCTGGTCTCCCAGGGGGAACCTGCTATGGAGCTGCCTTGCAAGACTCTCTGGGCCATATTGATGCCACGGCATTTTTCCAACCTAGGTTGAAACGTCCACATCTACAAATCTTTCCCAATTCCAAAAAACCCAGGGAGGAGAAGTGAATTCATTTGGTTGGAGGTTGTCATCTCTTGATCTTCCTTCTTTTCCTCATCTTTTATGTCTCACTGGAAGGTTATTTCCTGAGCCCTTAGGTCCTCCCGGAGCTCTCTGGCCCTCTCAGTCTTCCACCCACTCTACAGTACAGTTAGATCATACCCTTGTAGCTATTTTAATACTCTTTCTCTGGTGTCCTTGGTACTTTTCTAGGCAGTCTGTGAGGAAGGTTACAGATCCTCTTCTTGAGGAATTTTCCTTTTAATCATTGAAGTATAAACCAAATCCTGTACACAAAATACACCAGTCCCTAAGAGGAAAATGTGTTGGTTGATCAGCTCTAGATGCGAGTCTGAGCTTCATTCTGGTCTGACTTTCAGTGAGCCTGGTGTCCTTATCAAAGGTGCCCCACAGCTCCTGTATCCTCCCATGCACTGTCTCCCTGGGGTGGGTAAAAAGGAGGCAGCCACTCCCACCCTTCACAGTCTCCATGCTACTGTCTGTGCAGCAGCTCTGGAAAAGCAATATGTCCACAGGAAACAGGCTCTCCTAGTCCAAACTTCTGTGCCTGTAACCATGGTAGGTATCATGGGCCCACAGGAGATCTAGAACATAATTTCATCCCCTAGGGAGCCTATTATACTGTTGGAAAGATAATCCTTGTTCTTTTTGCAAGACAGAGAACAAAGAAGCAGGTAGAGCCAGTGGTGTCCTGATGCCAGCCCACACCAGCTCATGAGAGCCAACTATTTAGTTTTTAGGAATTTTGTGAACCACTTAAACTGCTGATAGTTTGAAATCGGCCATGGTGGGAGCATTTACAGCACAGAAGTTGGCAAACACTACAAATCAGGGCTCAGAGAGCTGGTTGTTAAACATTTATCAGTACGTAACTGGCGTACTATTTTGTCCTAGTCAAGTTGTCCCTCCTCTATATCTGGGAAGCTGATGCAGAAACCTTGAGGCTTTCAGAAAACTTGTTCAAGAAGTGGAGAAGTGGGAAAAGTTGTGAAAATCAGGAAGCACTGGAGAGAGGCTAGCTAGATGCAGACTCAGGGAATGGTACGCTCTCCCCAAGTCAGTCCCTGGGCTTCTTGAACGTGTCATACTCAACCTCAGCACAGCGACTCAAGCTCCTTTTAGAGTTCCATTAGGTTAGTAAGAGCCTCGTCTGAATCTTACTAACACCCCTAGGAGTCTGAGCAGCCATCAATCACTCACCAACTAGTACGAATTCGTTCCAATGCCTCCTGACTCCTCGCTGACATCAAGGGGACTGAAGGAATGCGAGGTGTGACTGGGAAAGAGAAGAGGCATGTCACTGTGGGGAAAAGACCAGGCCTGGCTAGAAAGCCACAGGAGATGGGGGAGAGCTCTTGGGGCAGGAGGAAGACGTGGGAGCATCAGAAAGTCTAGGGCATGGGAGCAGATGCAGAAAGAGAGGCACTGTACACTGGCATTGTTTTATGGCCCAGACTAGGAAGACAACTGGGAACATATTCAAGCAGCAAAAAAGAATCTGATCCAGTGGAGAAGCAACTTGAGAACTGGGTCATTTATAACATGAATCTGGGGGAGTAATATGTGAGGCCCTCCGTTTGGAGGACATACACTCAGGGTCCCTAGTAAGACTGGGACTAGAAAAGCCGGCTCAACCTTTCCCTCAGAGTCGTGAGAAAAATCCCCTCCAGTGTCCACAGCTTCAAATCTTACATCCTCGCCTAAATCTTTGGTTAATGAACAACCTCAGCCCCCTGAGAAGTTAACCCCAAATTTCTTGAGACAACATAGTTTCCTTGGTGGTTAAGGGTTTTTTATTCCTGAGAAAGCTTAGAATTAATTATAGATGATAAAGTAAATCAGACCCATTGTCCTAATATTTTTGTATAGGGCTTGGGAATTATCTTTGAATATGTTGTATTCAAAATATTTGAAATATTTAAGAGAATTTGGCATATTAGAGAATCCAGTAAATTGAACTTATGCTTCCAACTCTACAAAAATGTAGAGTTGAATATTTGATTTTAGACTTGTGGTTTTATGTTGAAAGGTAGGGAGAGTTTGGTCAAATATGTAAACAATACTGAGGTGGTTAAGATAACTTATAATCCACCATATTTATATATTTGTTATATTTACAAGAGTTATTTAAGTACCATAGTAGGTTTTGTCAAACAAATGACAGAAAAATAAAATACTAAATTTATAAATGCAACTTAAATATATTAAGTTTATAATATACTACAAATTAGCATAGTATTCTGTTATATGTTTCAAATTAATATATTAAATTTACAAATAGAGGGCCGGCCCTGTGGCTCATTTGGGAGAGTGCTGTGCTGGTAGTGCCGAGGCTGTGGGTTCGTATCCTATATATGGATGGCTGGTGCGCTCATTGGCTGAGCATGGTGCAGACCACACCATGCCAAGGGTTGTGATCCCCTTACCAGTCAGAAAAAAATAATAATAAATAAATTTACAAATAGAATTAAAATGTTTAAGAAAATTTAATTAACTAAGTTTACAAATGGAACTAAACATTAATCAAAAGCTTAAAAGTGGCTGGCCAGTTAGCTCAGCTGGTTAGAGCACCGTGTTATAACACCAAGGTCAAGAGTTTGAATCCCCTTACTAGCCAGTTGCCAAAAAAAAAAAAACAAAAAAAACAGCTTAAAAGTAATTACAAATTTTGCTATAGAGCAATAAGTAGACATGTATATTTACAAAGTAATAAGATTTTTAAGATGAACTTTTAAACTTAAGGTTTTAGAATTAGTAACTTTAATTATCAAATATTAATTTTAAAAACCAAAGTCAACATAAGTTGTGTTTTCTGTGTACAAAAACTACTCTTATAAGCAAAAACCAAAACCAATCAAAAAAAGCACAGTGACAGTGAACACTAATAGGGTTTTTTTATTTTGGGGAAGGAGGACTTGGGAAATGCATCTTCAACTCCAAGTAAGTGGCTGACAACTGTTCTAGAGCACAGCCCATCTCTACTGTGGGGACTGTCACCCTATGGAGAGGAAGAGGACCTTGGTGCAGCTCTCCCTGGCTCTGGGCTACACCACGCAGCAGGCTGCAGCACCACTGGGCAGCCCAGGCTGGTCTGCTCTCAGCTCTCAGACCCCTCATTTGCAGACATGTGGCCTAGGAAACAGTAGCCCGGCTGGGGCCCAGTGTGGGAACGTGGCAAGGTGGACCTCTCTCTCTCCTCTCCCCACTACATCAGAAATTCTGTGGAGCCTAAACACGTCTACTTACTGGAACACTGGGGTGAACGAGGCCCACAGGTGAAAGCTCTCCTGCTCTGGCGGGATGGCCTGACTGACAAGTAACTTTGGCTTCCTTCCTTGGTTTATCATAAAGAATGAAAGCATTGCCCTCACATCGTCCACCCCGTCAGCTGTGACGTGGACATGCCTCAGGCCTCAAACTCAGGTTTTCAGTAAAAACAACTTTATTTCCCAAATTTCAAGAACTCATTGTGCCAGAGAAAACCCAACCTCAGTCTTTCCTGGGGTTTCCATTCTTCTCCCAGGATCAAGGCTCTAGGATGTTTCCTCAGTGCCAGTGTTGTGGGGACATCTGTCCACACAGATTCCTCCTCACATGACCATGGTAGGTACCCACGCCCCATACTCTGAGGCTAACAGACCACAAGTGGGGACCCCTACTCTGTTTACCCGTGCAGCCATTTCTTTACTGGTCCTCACCTGGGGGGCTACAGGAAGCCCCTACAGGTCTCCCTTCCGTCTTTTGTCATGGGAGAATCTTTCTCTAGTGTGAGGAGGGAAACCTCATTCTCCCTCTTGCTTTTAGCCAAGAAACTGTCTGTTGCCCGTCTTCCTTTACTTACTCCTCAGAAACCCAAACTTCCCTTTACGGGCTTAGCTTTGGGTACGTGAAAGCCAGAGCGGCTGGCAG